ACCGTGAACATGATCACAAGCTTCTGTGTTTTTCAGTCTTACTGAACTTTATACTTCATGATCAGGGCTTTCTACATCCGGCGTACGCTTACAGCTGACCATTGTGATAGCACAAGAACAAAATTTTAATCAAAGAGCTACTGCGATGGATAAATGACCTTGACTAGAGCTCTGCTCAATGTTTCGTTATCAGCACTCACTACTTTCCGCTATTGAACATAAAAAAGTTCAACCAACGAATCTTAATGGTCGATTTATTGAACTTATAAAAATGTGATTCCTCAGTATTGCAATATGCAACCTGTACTACGCATGACACTACCCATAACTCTTAAGGAAAGCACACGTGCATTCATATAACGTGAATGATTATATTTCTGTTCTCTCAATCCTAGAATTGGATCGGCTAAAGAGAAAAGATGGTCTTTACCTCTTAAAGAGCACAGTGACCAATTCATTTTAGAGTTTTGATGTGAAAATGATGCCCCTTAAGGTGCAAAAATTTCAAAACAAATTGATCCGGAAGGAAAAAAGGTACAACTCAAGGCATGCACAAAGGCGTTACTCAGAGATATAGTTTGTGACCTTTTGAGTCGATGTTGTTTAGAATTTGCATTATCTTTTCCAAAAGTTGTATGATACATTCTTACATGTGCTCGAGACTACTTAAGTTCTACTTTTAAAACCCTTGCTTTCAGTTACCGCACGATTTGCCTAAACATTTTATTGTATTAATCGAAGCAGTGTTTGGTGGAGAACATTAATGTAAAGTTTCAAAGTTTTCGTTCGTCAACTCTTATTTCTAAGAGGTCGCCATAACTGAGTGGCCACACTTCACAAGCGCTAGATGGGTCTTACAGCCGATGATATCTCGGCATAACTTTGCAATTAGTTGCAACAATTAGTTTGAAGGAGAAGCAGCTATTCATTGTGACCGACACCAGTCGTTTTCATGACTGACCTTATGACCGATTACAATTGAAGATCAACTGTAACTTGTTATTGAACTGGAGCTCTCCACTGATATTTGGGCTCCATTTGTCGCCGTGGCCTCCTAAAGAGGAATTCGATAATGCCCACTACGCTGCCTTCCACAGTGCTTAAGGTGTCGCCCTCGCGGCTCTCGACAAGTTAGACTTAGGATTTCACAGGCGTTTATAACCTGGCACAACAACCTCTTTAGCGTGGTCTTTTTTTGAGACACCAGCTAACTCGTTCGAAACACGTGTTTGCAAGCTAGGAATTTAGGATTGACTTCTTTTTCCGACAACCTTGCTTTATATTCTTTACATCAGCCGGAATGGTGAAATTTTCCAATATTTTTCTAAAACATAAAGATGCTTCAGGGCAAGTTGTGGAGTATTGTGTAATTGGTACCATATTGATGTTATGATGTTTTCTCGTGTTTGTCGTCAATTCCGAACGCTGTGTTTTTATTTCAACGATGTTCCTTCGCTTTACAGGTTGTGTAATCCAGCATAGCAAGAGATTGTAATCTCTTGAGCGTAGTCAGTCATGGAATAAACTCAATAATATCATTCCACAGTGCGCGCGCTTTTTTTCCTCTGCCAAATTTAAGTCAATTACGGTAAAACAGTGTCTTTTCTCCTGTATTGAAAAGACACGAAAGGGAGCAAGGCATGCAGGGAAGGATGTGCTGATTGCATAATGAAGGGCGCTGTGTTCCGAAATGAAGCTTATATTGAGTCAAAATGTTATCAGTTGAATCGAAATATATCTAACCTATCCTTAAACGATGCAAAATTACGTATCTATTTCTAACTCTGCATTAGCAAATCTGTGTGGCATTGTCCGATGTTTTAAGAATCATCAAAAACGGGATCAAAAGGTATTTGCGTTTTCCGCAAGAAATGGTCAGTGTGCCGCTGTGAACCTGATCGCATAGTTCCGGGAAGGTATTTCATGTATACATCTAAATCGAACTGAAACTATACTCATGTTCTTTTGATAACGGACTTCGATGGTTCATCAAATTCCGCCGCTCCCATTTATTGCATGCAGTGCTTGTTGAATTTACTAAATTATCCGTGACTGTGGTGATACGAAGTGGAAGTAATCCCTGCTAATAACCAGACAAAATGTCACCTTTGGCGGATTCCCTACTTGAAAGAATAGATTTACAGCAAAAATGAACAATGAGGCATTTACCAACAAAGGTCATCTTGTGTATTTTTATTCAGAAAAAACCCGATAGGGACACCATCGAGCACTGAATGTTGGAAATTTCATTAAAGTAATTACAGTTAAGGTTTTCTGTATTGCCGTAATAGCTTTATAAATATTTTTGCCGCAAGCTGTCTCGACCAAGCCCGACAAGACGCTCCTGTTCGCTAGATAGAGTTCATTACAAATTGTACTGCAAAATATGTAAGGGCTGGTTATTTAAGCAAAGTTAAATCGTTGTTAAACAAAATCGGGTTCTATGCCATCTTCAATTTAGCCGAACCGTTTATCTGAAATTTTATTTTTGTGGACAGTGTCATGAGGGCCAAAAGCGAATAGTGGAAGGGCATTTATTTCATAAAATCATCCCTCTTATAGAGAATCCCTGGGTCCAGTGCTCGCATAAAATCTCGGTTTGGGTTAGACGTCGTGTAAATAACCAGCCCTGTGTGTAGGATTATCCTCTCCTAATTATTTTCAAACGAGCGTTTGCGCAGAAAAAAAAAGCTGCAATATCAATCCTGCAAATGAAAGAATAACTGTTCTCCTTGTTTAACATATGGTTACTTTCAAACTACCTAAGGCATTAATTTCTTGCTGAGTACGTCAAGCGGAGTTGAGAGCAGAAAAAGCATCCGTGCTTTTCCATGCGGACAGGATCATTCACAAATCCACCTCCAAATGTCTATCCATTGACATTTGTTTGTTGACCCAGTCATTGACCGCCAGTTACGCTTCAGAACCTATATGTGCGCTGTCCAGATATCTGAACCACTTACTTTGCTATAGACACCTACCACGATCAAACGGATTCCCAGAAGTTGTGCAGATCTTAGCAAAGTTTGAAGGAACCACGATAGCGAGGTATGTTACATCTAAAAGATTAGGTGCATGAACGAATCTCAAACACGACAAAAAAGACTTTAAATAAATGAGTTCAATTCAAGAGAATAAAAACATCGTTAAAGTGCCAGTTTACTCGAAACCAAAAGGAAAGTTCTTCAGATGCGGAATGATGAACACGTTGGCGCTCAAGTTGAGATAATCTTTTCTGTAATAAAAAATCTAAGAACTTCACTCAAATTTAGCTTCGAATGCAAAAGAATTTGGTATGGGGGTGAGTATAGCAGGATTATAAATCGCTTCATTCAGTTGTTTCCGCTTTTTTAGGTGTACAATTTAGTGTTCCAATTACGTTTTCGGATGAGTGCCCTCCAAATCAGCTTTAGTGAAAATTTTCTTCAATTTTTGTGTTCAAATTCGTCCTCCCTCTCCAGGAAACGGCCACTGTTGTAACCAAAGACATGGAGTTTCACATGGTAAGAATTTAGCAAACTCTACTCATTTATAACGAGTATTTCATCTAACGGAAATTGTAACGTTCGAGCTTCCGAGTACTGTAGGCGATTAACTGAAGGAAACTTGCTATACTTTTCTTTCTTTCGTTGAACATTTAGTTTTATCACTCAGGGTATTTCCACAATTTATGATGGTGTGACTAATGAAGTTTCGACGGTCGTTTTTTCGCTATAAGGCCGAAGACTATCGAAAAGCTGAAAGGAAATCACCACTAGTGTTTTCCCCCAAGATCACTATACAAGCTGTGAAATGATCGTCTGGACTTGTGTTATGTATTAGAGCCTTGACTTAAAGCTTTTTTTTCGAAGATCTAACACTTTCGTTCCACATTATGTCTGCGGCATATGACATAGGTTGGCGAAACGTTCAAACATTTGTGTGTGAAGCCTAATGTTAGATGAAGGCGGTAAAAGTTAATCTAGAGACGCAGCTAAACGGTGAAACATTCTTGTGAGATATGATTATGGACAAAAATGTTTGAGCGTTTTTCCGGGACCTGAAAAGACTGTTATGAGAAGCATCTGCGCCCCTCCCCCTCTTTCTATTTGGGAGTTTGAGGCATAATCGTTTAGCTTGTCATGTGTATATTTGAATACACAGGAACGCATAATGAAGCATGATCTGCTCTTTCCGGCATTTGTGGGTACAGTGTTAATGTTTTTGGTGCTTCCTAATGCGGCGGGTACAACCTTAAGGTAAGTTTCTTGAAGATTTCTTACTTTGTTTATCAAAATAACGTCTGATTCGACATTCTAAAAATACTGGTATAGAAATACGAAATGTCAAAGACGAGAAAATGGCTTTTTGGCCGAAACTGCTTGCATTTTACGCACTTATGGGACTACTGAAGAATTTTCGGCGTTGATATCTGTAAAGACTGTAAATTGTGTTATGTGAACAGATCAAGAAATAAATACTGTGTTTGTTTTGTTATTCCACATTCAGCAAGGCAGATCAGCCAGGAGTTTCTTTTCAAGACTGTAATGGAACTGACTGGAAGAAAACTTATCCTAACCTGGATTTTGTACTTCTTGGTTACGATATCCTGCAAGGCAATCCCATTGCCAAATACGACCCTGGCTTTACCCATCCAATATTCAGAGCCAACTACTCAGAGCAACGACAAAGTGCGGACTGTCGTTACAGGTTCCCAGCAGGTTTCACAGTTTACCCCAGCCAGTATTGCTCGGTGTCATTTGCGTCTAGACTAGTTCAGAATAAGAAAGAAATGACCAAACTCCTTGGAGCCTCGGCACGTGTCGAAGGTGAGCTTATATCACGTAACCATTAGCAGTCCCTGCTTTTTGGTGAGGTCCGTAGCACGAGTCAAAGAACACAAAAATCAGTGGGAAAAAAACTAATGTTTGCGTGCCGCACAGAACCCCGTGGGTGAAGCGCACGAAAAGTGGGAACTACTGTGAAATTATAGTCCCAATCGGGCATAACCAATGACATTCCTGATCTTACTGTCCTATCGATCTTTATGTCATCTCAACACGAGGGGGATCTTTATTGAAAAGATCCCTTTTTTCGCATGCAGGTGTGTACACAGAACTTGCCCTTCCCCCTCTAACAATGTTAGTAAAATTAAACAGTCACTACGTCTTGGTTCATTGTTGGGGAAGAGGGGTGGGGGAGGGGGGAGTTCAATTTTAGTGCTATCACGTTAAGTGTTCCAAGACTTTTCACATCCATTGTACCTGCTCAGGCCTTTCAGAAAATCACAGAATGGACTTCGAATCAGAGCATTCTAAGTTATTAGATTATTATCAATCAATCCCCGAGACTTACAATAGACCCAGACTTCAATTCAAATATAAATAAAGTAAATACTTTACTGTCCAAAACTACCTAAGAACTAAAAGTTATTAAGAATTCTTCTATCTTTGATCTCAAGTTGCTGCCATTAATGTCATTATGTATTCAGGTGGAGGAGAATTGGAATTTCAGTTTTCTGCCAGTGCAGACCTCAAAAGAGAAGTAGCTGAAATGAAATCGGGAAAGTATGTGCGAATCATTTCTAGTGCACAGTGTCAGCGTTATCGCAGTAACATTGACCTGGCGAGGCCTCCACCGTTTGATCCAGGTTTTATTGAGTGGGCAAACAAACTAGCAGATTCAAGTGCAAGTGAAGGAGATGTTTTACAATTCATAAAATACTACGGAACTCACTTCTTCTCAGACGTCACATTTGGAGCAAAGTTCATTCAAAGCCACAAGATAAGTCAAGCAGATCTAGAGAAATTAAAAAAGGAATCAATGAGTGTGGAAGCCCAGGCGAGCTACTCGGCTCTATTCAGTGTCGGTGGTGGATCGTCCATGGATAGCGATCAAAGAAACGCTGCAACAAAGTTTATGAAGAATGTAGATTGCACGACCACCCCCGTTGGGTCCGTCCCACCCAGCAATGGAGACGCTGCGACTTGGGCAACATCAGTTCAATCGAACCCTGTCCCTGTTATGTACACTCTGCTTGGTATAGAGAACCTGTTCAGCGATCGTTTTACCAGAAATCTTTCACCTAAAGTTAACTACGTTGGTCTAAAGAAGAAATTGGCTGATGCTGCGTATAAACACTGTCAGGTTTTGAGGAAGCATGGTAAAGTCCCCTCTTGCAGCTTTAAAGTTAAGATTGAAGGACATGGAATTGGGTTTGAAGATAAAGGTGAGACTACTTTGGAAATTTTGAGCCTACAGTTAACGGAACATTCAAATATTTTTCTCTCCATTCTCTTTTCCGTTTCATTGGTACCTCTTTGATTCCTCTTTACATTACACACCTAACCTTTTGAGCGTTCAGGAGCACGGATGGAAAAATGATTCAATATCCCGCTGTCTTTTAAATCTGATTTACTCTTCATTTCATTTCTAAAGCATTCCGCAGACAATAACAGCGCTCGGTTAAATGCTCAGTTATCGTTTAAACACTAGGATTATTTCCGTAAGTGTTTGATCGCTCGTTTTGTCGAGTTTATGGCGTTTTATGGCTCGTTTTGTCGAGCTTATGATAACTTCTACAATATTAGGATTTTCCTACTTTGACGTTATATCTGTAAAATATGATATTGTAATCAATAGCAGCTCATCCCTCCACCATAGGGTACCGACAGAGCTGTCTTATCATTCTAATCGAATTTTTCTTGACTTTGAAGTTTCAGAGTACATCCGAGACATAGACAGAGACTCGTGTGAAGAAATGTGTCTTGACATCGCTGATTGCGTGGCTGTTGAATACCGCAACTCTTCTTCAACAACAGTTTGCACACTTAGGGAGAAAAACGCTAATGGGTTTAAAATAGTTAATATTAAGAATAGTCAAATAATCGTATTTCTTTCAAAATTGGCAACTGGAAAAGTTTCTCTATCATTGAACCCTGCACGCCTAAAAGGAAACGCCTTTTGGAGTTATTACACAAGCACTGAACGAAGATGCATCAGTGAGTGTAAAGAGAGAGCGGAATGTGATGGTTACTGGCTCAATCGGGGCAGGTGTCATTTGATGTCAGTTCAAGATATGACAGGGATTGAGTTCGCTTCTTATGAGTATGCTGGATTTCTACCCAGATTTTAAACCTTGAAAGCATCTTACCTCCTATTAGGCACTGGTCATTGATTATCGCTGGGAGGTGTCGGAGGATTTTGGCTCTGTATGTGTCATGATAAAATTTACCTGACTGATCCGACTGATCCCCCTCCGTTCCCCCTGAAAATCATGTGATCCTTCCCGAAATCCTACCCCCCGTTTGCCTGAACGCAACTGTGACTTAAAACAAAATCGTAAATAGATTGTATTCAGGAACTGAGAAATTAAGACATGGTTTGAATCCTTAATTAGTTACACTTATACTCATTTCATTCCAATTGTGATTGAATCATAGCAACTTATTCGACAGCTCATTCAACTGGTCTTAAACATTGGGACAAACCTCTTACATATTTGAATTTTGTAGCCAGAGATTAAAGTTACTTTCGAGCGCAAGTGTGTGGTTTTGCTTTAAATTGAGGGTGGCATACGTTCACGAGTTTCTTGTGGGCTGGGTTCCATAAAGTGTTCCCCTATATATGATTTTTTGCAAGAGCTAAGGTACCTCGTAAAAATCGCAATTTCTGAAGGGTCTAGTCTGTTTAAAATACTTCTCTCTTATGCCACTGGATGTGTTACGCAGACTCATTTTAACGATGAATCCAGTTAAAAATGAAAGGCGCTGAGTCCTTATATTTAGAATCGTTTATATTAAGCGTTCGAAGGAAACCTTAAAACGATTTCACAAGGGTAGTAAAACACCAAAGAGTTTGATCAAGAATGGAGAGAATTTTACTACATAGACTTCAAATAACCAAGAAATAAGTCAATTGTGCAATTTTTGTTATCATTTATTTCAAGATGCTCGTATTGATAATGCGCGGCTCTTCTGCTTCACTGATCTAGATGATTCGTTCCCGACTTTGATTCGAGGGGAAGGGGGGAGGGGGGAGGGGGGAGGGACCATGAAGTAGTCAGGTTAACACATTCACATTGATGAAGCATTTAATGGCTGCACGTTACTATAAAATTGGAGACATTCACGTGATTTCACATGAAACATGTTAATTTTCTCATCAAAGAAGAAAGCATCGCTTGATGAAAATGCTAAAATACAAACCCAATTTCAGACCTTGGTTTCACACCCAAACAGTTTACATGCTGGAGTGGATACCTGTTACTGGCCAAAATGGGTCAATACCTGGCATACCCTATAGCACATGTAGCTGTGCGTAGCCATTTAGTCTATCCGAGGAAAAAAATCTCTTTTTTTCCGCTTTATGTCTCGGTGCTAATATAATTTTGTCTCTCAAATTTACAACGGAATATGATGGAAAAGCGACATGCCTTGCTGACGAACAAATTGATCCAACAAAGTGTCAAGATACATGACAGAGTTCTGGCAAAGGTAAATATAAAGAAGGTGTTCAATTCTGAAAAGACCAAGTTGCGTCTCTTCAAATCTGTAATCCTTTGTGGACTGAATTATTGCTCAATCGAATGGTTGTTCATATGAGCAAACAAGACAAGTGCAAACTGGAAAGACTGTAAGAGAAGGGTCTGAGAACTGTACTTAATGACAATGCATCAAGTTATGAGAACTTTTTTAAAAAGGCCAACCTACCAAATTTGTACAACAGAAGACTGAATAGTTTGGCAATTATGATGTTTGAGGTGATGAAAAGGAATGTCTCCAAGGTACATTTCTGAGTTTGGCCTAGCTTAGTTCAAGCAGTAAATGACGGTACATCTTCTGCGAACAACGAGGCACCATTTTTTTGAGATCGAGGAAACTACGCCCGCTGCGACCGAATTTCCCATCGTAACGTATCAAACTTGTTTAAACGTGATGGGTACAGGAGGGAGCTACAGTTCTCCTTGGTGCGTGCCCAGCAAACAGGATGAAAAAAATTGAGGATGAAGTCTAACGCCTTTTTTAACATGTTGACGCCGAAATTAATTCACGTGGAGAGGATTGCTAAGTAGGCGGAATGAGGTATTCAAAACAAGAATTAGAAACTCTCCTTCCCTCATTGTTTTACTCTTTTTGGTTTGTCTGCTTGACGCCCACCAGCTTTTGTGCATCCACTCTTTCGTTGACTTGCTAAAGCCCTGAACTTTGGTGTCTTACCTTCAAGTTGGCCGAACTAAAAAAATTTGACCGTCCAAGTAACTACTTTCCTTGAGTATGTTGAACGGCCTTTTATTATACTTTTCAAGAATTTTTTGACAGCGACATTGTCTAAAGCGCACTCCATCGATTGCAATGATAAGAGGATCGAACTTCATACGATGACAAATCGCGTCTTCTTTTTTTATTAACAACGAATAGCGGCTCCCAGAGTAAAATAGACAACGTCTCAAAGGTTTTTTTTCCACATACAGTGGAATGCGTGCATGTTATTGAATCAACATCGAGTATGAATCGAACTGGCAGCTGTTAACTCATGATCTTTTATATAAATAGGTCGGTTTGTATTGTTTCATCCATTATTAAATGCTGTTATTTGACTCCAACCTTTGTGGCAAACAGAGAACATACACATTGAAGTCCGCTGTTTTTAATGTAGCATGGAAAATTTTGCGCTTTTTATATTCGTTTTCTGGACTGCAGTTATGACTTCCACGGCGATTGATGGAGGTGAGTTGCAAACCGATAATCATTTTCTATCTCTGGACTCGTATGCGTATAGACTTACTTTTGAGCGATATGATGAGCAAATTTAATTGAATATAGTTGCCTGCGGAATTCAATAAGCATGATTAGATTACGAAGAAATTTCTGGAAACACCTTTCTTAGACGTAGAATGTTATTCAACATTTGGGTGTTTGTCTTATCTTATCCGATTCTGGAAGAAATTATTTCAACATAAAACCAAATACTTCTGAAGCTAAGAACAACTGACTTCATTCCGACTGACTACATTCCTAATGTTTCCCTCTCAACGATGTTAATATATTAGAATACTATAAATTTATTTTGCATCGTAAGGAAGCACATTTTGCCCTACTTAGCCGTCTCAGAGAACCTAATTTATACAAGAACTATGCCATTATATGAGATAAAATAACTTTACTGTGATTTACATTTGTTTGATAAAATACGGTAACCTGTCTTTCACAAGTTTGGAAATCAGCCATTTTGTAGGATTGAAGGAAATCTCTCGTTACAACAAACTTGCCAAAGAGAAAATAACTTGAATGGCAAAATCCTTTAAAAAAATTGACAAATCCCTCGTGCAGTTTGGAAACTTCACGAATATTGATGTGTTACGCGATATCAGGTAACAATGATTAGTCTCGGTGCAAATTAGCATGAAGTCCTCTGTTCTCCCTTATCATTTCAAAAAGAGAGACACAGGGGACTGCTTGAATTATGTATTCCTTTATTAAACGTCCCATAAAAAAGCACGGTATTTTCAAGAAAATAGAAAAATAGTAAAAAATAGGAAAGAAAGAAAGATTAAAAAAAAATTTGAATTATCAGGCTAATTATAGAGTTCAAGAAATACTAGCAGTCTGATTTTATTTATATTTATATATATTTATTTATATTTATATATATGACTTTCATATATTCTTAACCAGTCTGATTTTTCTTGGCGGTTTTTGTTCCATTTCCCACAAGAAAATCGTTGAAAAGGGCAAAAAGCATTATAACAGAACACAGAAAAAATCAAAATAAAAAAATATATAATTACTTGCTATCACTTCTACTGGTTCACTTTCTCTCCCGGGGTTTATCATCTCAATACAGAATCTCCATAATTTTATTAAAGGAGTGATGAGAGAAACAAAAACCCATGAAAATAAACAATAATTTTTTAACAATCTTTGAGGCGTTATGTGTCCCCCTTTTGTATTGTCTCATCTGAAAAGATGCGGTCAAGGCTCCAGATCTCAGAAACACGCACAATTCGAAAATTTATCAGTTCCGTGTTTAGAATAGCTGAAAATTAACAAATTTTCAAAAAAACGCTCTGTTGTTCATCGGAAGACATATTAAATCTTTAGTTCTTTTTTTTTTCTCGTTGCGTCAAGCGTTTGTTATCGTGGTGGTTAGGTTTTTTTCTGCCTAGGGATTCTCCAAGTTCGAGTTTTTTTTTTTGATACTTTTGCTCGACAAAAAAAATGTTTTCATAGCAATAAATTACCTTCATTACTAATATTACTATTAACTATTTTAAGAAATCATATTGTTATTATTATTATTATTATTATTATTGTCATAAGAATTAACATTAATATTACTTGTATGTTTTATTTTAGAGCGGGATCGCGCGATGCTGTTTCCAGACTACTACTTCTTTGCAGAAAGACGTTTGGTAAATCATACTGTTGAAGAGAAACGCGTCAAGAATTTGGATGACTGTGAGCTTTTATGCTACCTAAACGAAAACTGCGTCAGTCTTAACTTCAAAAAAGATCCAGATGATAATCTTGAGAATAATAGTCTAGGACACAGTTGTGAGCTAAATAACGCCAATCATCTGGAGTATGATGGTGATCTGAAAACTGATGCTGTTTTTTACTATCGGGGCTCGAAGGTGGGTGAAAAATAGAATTTACGAATTTGCAGGGGTAACTTCCAAAAACCAACTAAATTTTGCAACTTTCTTGTTCATTCAACCATCGGGTTTTTATTTCCTCGTTCAATCGATCGAGCAAGATTTTTATCGTCATTTTACTGTCTCTTTCTTCTCCTTCAGAACGCTTGCAGTAACAATTCCATGTGCCAAAATAATGCAACTTGTCAGTCTGGCTTCACATTTAAGGGATATCGATGCTTGTGCCCTCTTGGATTCGAGGGAGAACGTTGTGAAAAAGGTAGGTTTCGAATAGTGCAAGATATGATAATCTCTGATTTCAATGCAGGTATGAGAACTGCCCCTAAGTTAGTTAAGAAGCATTAGATTTTTCATATTTGATATTTCCCATTTTCAAAATGAATTGTATTATTTCATTTGCTCGTTTGTCCTCCTGTTTGTGTTCCATTTTGTTTTCTTTGTTTGTATGGGTCGGTTTTCCTTTTTTTTGTCCTCATGAATCTTAAACGTTTGCATCAAACTTCTTTTTATAGTCAAGTAAGGACAGTATTTTCTATTTCATTGTGCTTCTCCTCTTTTCGTTGACTTATTTGTTGATTTTCTCGACAGATACAGACGAGTGCAAAACAACTCCTCAAAAATGCCACGTTAACGCTGCGTGTAATAACACACACGGATCATACGTGTGCACATGCAAGCCTGGATATGTCGGAGATGGACGGGATTGTACAGGTACAGTTAATAGTGTTAAAAAACCTTTGGAATTTGAACTCGATAACATGTATTTGTTTGGTTGTCAAAAGTCCATATTTTTTTCGCTTTTTGAAATCATATCGCGATGTTGTATTCCATGCAGCAAAGAGTTGACACCTTAGCCGTGGCATAAATCTTCAGCAAAGAAAACAAATTATCCATAATTATTGGGTGGGAGATGTCCCAGATTTTTTATCATTCTTGTCATGTCAGGGGCGCACCATGAATCTTTGATGGTGGGGGTGGATGGTGGTGTGGGGAGCGGGGGGGGGGGGTGGTTGGGGCAGGAATGGTTTAGCCTTTCATTCAGAAATGAATATTTTCTCTCAAGACAATTAAATGTTTCAAAAATACTTCATAGTGTGTGGTAATGTACGTTCCTGTTACAAGAGGCCTGCAGTCAAACAAGTGGTAAAAATTCCCACAGTTCTCATAGAAAGGGGAATTCCATACGCACAGATCCGCTCCCCCCCTTCTATTGAGTTTCCAGCATGTTGTGTTAAAAGTCACAATACCATGATTTCTGAAGAAGTATTTATGTTTTCTTTCAGATATTGACGAATGCAACGAAACCTATGCAGTTAAAAGGAACAAATGCCATCTGAATGCCTCTTGTATTAATACGCAGGGCTCATACAATTGCTCTTGTAACCCTAATTACGTCGGTGATGGTTTTAATTGTGAAGGTGCGTTTGACCTTTTCCATGACTCTCAATTTGTCAAGGCAGGTCTTGGATAGACCCAGTCTAAATCATTGCCGTTCAGGGGACCATTTTTGGCCAAATAAAGCTAATTGGTCATCACACTAGCTCTTCCTTAAATTTGCCTTTTTTGATGCGCTGTTAAAAAACGCTAATTTGGATATCCTGCTCTCGAAAAACTATGAATAAAATTTCCTCACAAGGGTTGGTTTACGTCTAGCTTGATTGCATTACTGTTTTTGTGCTGAATGGTAAACTTCTTAGATCGTAAAGGTGAAAAACGTGTTACACATTGATCATACGTCATGATTACAATCCTTTCATGATTATTATTTTACTTTTAAGCTGATCCGTGTTATAATTACAAAAGCCTGAGCGATGCCGATAGAAAGAGCAATCACCAAACACCCAAGTATCAAGAGGTGTGCGACAATTCACTCCCTGAGGGATGGTATCGTTTTGTGGGAGCTGCAGGAACAAAAATGCCAACAACGCGTGTGCCAGCATACAGATGTGGAACAAACTGGTCGGGCTGGTTAATGACTGCTCATCCTACATTGGAAGATGGTGAAGTTCTCCGGACGGTTTGCTTCAGTGATCGCTCTACTGGTTGCAAATACTCAAACGGGATTTCTGTTAAAAACTGTGGATCCTACTTCATCTACGAGTTTTTTAAACCACCTGGTTGTGATTCGCGCTACTGTTCTACAGACTGAATGCAATGCGAAAACTTCGACGAAATAAGAACAATTTTAAGTTAATTTTCAGGTACAAGGATTTTACGCAATCCTTATTTTAAAATAAGCATTGTTTAATTTGGTAGAATCTCTACGCTGGTGACATTCTTTTAAATTGTACAGTCGTCAGTGCCTAGAATTTTACATAAACAAATCTCCTTAGTACATGAAATAACTACAAGAAGTTGGTTGCTAACAAAATTAAAAACGAAAAAAAATTTTGGGAAAAGAAATGAAAAGAAAAGAAAAGAAGAGAAAAAAATCTGGATTAGTGAAATCTTAGACAATAATGAACATCATTCGGCAAAGTAGATAGCAAGACATGACGAAAGGCGATTCTCAAAGAAAGCAGGAAACGAGTTGTTTGGTTCACCTATTTTCTCCTTTTTCTCAACAGTTATCACTGACCGTATTAAGTTGTGGTCTTTATCAGTTGCCGACCAGAGCGTGTCATAATATGAAACTAGTGATATGGAAATATTACGAAAAAGTGACGGAGATACTCTTTAAATTTCTGTTACACTATTTAAAAGTGTCAAATCGGTTTCACGCCTAGACGTAAATCGTTTAAACATATTGAAACCGGTTTCACTTTTTTTTTTTAAACTGGCAGGATTAATTAAAATAAATCGCTCTTAGATTAAATTCAGAATCTGAGGTAATTGCAGTAACAGATAAGATTCACAAAGAGACACGGTACAACTTGTATACGTCATGTTCGCAATGAAAAGTACGTTATGGCAATTTACGCTACGATTTAATTCGAAAATGAGATGGGACTTTTCTTGATTGTACTGACAGTGTCAACTTGATATTTCCTTTAAAAACAAAAAATATCACGAATATGTAGGGAATGGTGAATTTAAATACTAGCCAGTGTGAATAAACTCAAGTTGTAAATGGTGTTTTAAAGACATTCAGTAGCTCGTCAGGAGTTTTGCATTGCACTATAAAACAATTAAGTTGAACTCCAGATATGACAGTTTCTTGAACATAAAAGTAGATCTGTATATAAAAATCAGCCTTTTTTTCAATGCAAGTAAATCACTACGGCGGAGTTAAGACTTCCAAAAAGGTCACTACAAAGTATTTTGATAATCTAGGACCACCAGGAGTTAAATGGGAAGAAACTACGCAGGATTCCCTTGTTAATTGTACTTCTCTCATGCCTGATACGGAGTTTATTGAAGGTAAAAACACAGCTTAATTTCTTTTTAAGCCTGAAAAAATTTACCAGAATATGCATAAGCCCTGGAGGGTTTATTCAGAGGAAAGTATTGTCAGTTGAGTCATTCTGCTGCGTCGGCTTTTATTTTTTTTTTTGTTCAATTTGTGTATAAGTTAGCACAACCTCTAATAAAAAGACATTTACCTTACATGAAACGCTTTTTCAAGGACTGGACAGTTAATATTAAAGGCCTAAAAAAATTATTATCCTCCTAATTCTTATTATTCTCATCATTGTCATTATTTTCATAATTATCATTATTATCATAATTATCAGATTATTTTTAATGATGGACAGAGCTGTTCCACACAACCCCATGCTTGTCCTCGCGCGATCTCGTCGCGCTCCCTAGGAGACTGGCACTGAGGACTTGGGAAATAATTTATAATATGTTTACCTGGGTTTGGTGGGCGTGTATCACATTTGCAAACTTTTCAGTTGTGGCTAGTGCAAATTATATCACTGCTTAGACAATTGGAGTATGGCAGCAGATGGCAATTACGTGAACACAAAGATGACTCGTGACGACCTCTGAAGCAAGAAGGTACATAACGGTGGTCGTAATATATTTTCAAGCGTTGTTATCAAACATTCATCTTGTCGCCAAAACCGTAGAATACAATGGCCACTTCTTTACAACTCCTTGAGTCAGATCAGTTCTTATTTTGTTCTTCCTTGTTCTTCGAAGTCTGCCTACAAGGTGGACTACAATGGCCCTGTAGTGGGTACATGACAATTGCTAAAATGCATATCCTTAGACGGCTGAGACTTCCCTTCATCCTCTCAGTTTGTATCAGAAGGTTTTAATAGATGTGACAATTTAAAATTGTAGAATGGATGTCTTGGTAAAATTTTTGTGAAACAATGCCTCACTTGATGGGAAGGCATCCGCATCCCAGAATTCTCCTCGTGTTTAATTTGGGGGTTTGCTTTGTCAATAATAATGATGATAATAGGTTAACATAAATTGAAGCATTGTTTTAAGGTGAAGTACTCAGTCGACAGTCTCATTCAAAAAATTGATTTTCAGTTTGCAAAACTTTTGAGAATCAAGATTTTACTTCTAAATCTTGAGATTCAAGAATAGAGGTTCAAGTTCTGAGATGCTGAAATAATTTTTTTTGATCAATGTTGATCAGCATTTTATAGGAATTATTTAATTCTTGAAACAGAAAATTTGGCAGGGGACAAAAATCTTAACACAGCTCACCAAAACAACCTGGCAAAGCCTCAGGGTATACCTAAAAATAATGTTAAGGTGCACATATGGGATGCCGGAAATCTCAAAGAGGGAGCCAACAGAACTGATAGTGAATCATGAACACGGAGTTGTATGTCTCCAAGATCCTCAGCAACAGGCTTTTGCTGCTTATACCAGCAACTTTCCTTGATGGTCATCACATTTAGAAAGATTAACACTTTGAACAATTCTCCTTTAGTACCAGCTTCATGAACATGGAAGACAATATTTTTATTTAGTGGAAGACTCCCCCAAAATTGCAAGATCCCTTATTTGTATCTAGTTAAAATACTTATGGGTGGGCTCAAGAAATCTTCAGAACAATGTGAAATTAAAAGCAATAGTAGAGCTCACTGATGACTTTGTATTAATGAAGGGTGAAGATGTGGATACAGAGAGATGCACCAAATACAACAGACACTTGCCAAAGGTCTTGACATCAATTTTTGTAAAGTGGCAAAGTATAGCTTTTGGGTAATACATTCCCTATTCAAAAGTGTAAAGAGCTGATTACAAGCCACCACATTTATAATATTCATGACCAATGCTTACTT